AAAAAATGCTTTAAATTCGTATGTTTAAGTCCTACAAGTATGGGATACAACACCATGTTTATGTGGTAAAATACCACTTTATGGAGTAAACTAAACCCACCATCTTCTATGGCTGCTCGGAGGGTCGCTATGACGTCAATCCACAGACCGCTCTGTCGGACACCGACCGAAGTGGTGAAGTGGTCGGCCAGGCATTTGTGCCATGCCGAGGGCGCGCAAAATTTCAAGAACTTGTGATGAGGGAACCTATTATAGTTCTTATTACAGTTGATCTCTACGTATATATATATTGTATATATATATATTACCATTATGATAGTCTTAGATATACAACTAAATTATATACAACCAATTGATATCTTAGTCTTAGATACATATTCATACAGTATCGCATTTTTGCTTCACCAATTAGGGATCTCTGCTTCAAGAAGGTCAGGATGCTATGGGTCAAATCGAAGAGCATGCGCTTTACCACGTAGAACTTGAGGGACGCATCACAAATAAGTGGCTTTGACCAAAAGGAAGGGCAATATAATAAATAATAATATAGACAATATTCATGGGCAATAGTTTAATATAGTTTAATTAGAGTTTAATAATCGTTATATAAACTATATTAACTAAACTAATAGTTAAATAGTTATATATTAATTAAACTAATAGTTATATTAATAATAGTTATATGGGGGCTGTTCTAAACCTAAGTAGTTTTTTGCGTTACTTTATCCATCTTGCGCTCGCCCTTGCGCCTTCTTGCGCTTCCCAGGGTTTTAGCGCAAAATCATATCCGAATACTAATTTAGTTTACTTTGCATTTGATGAGGCATGTCTGGCTCAAGTGACGTTTACAATAGATAGGGTCTTCATTTGTAGGCACTTATTTCTTCCTTTTCTGAATTGCTGCCACAATGTACTGGGAAGTGCTTTGTGCAAGCTTTGAAGTACAAAGTAGTACTGGGAAGTGCTTTGTGCAAGCTTTGTAGTACACAGTAGTACTGGGAAGTGCTTTGTGCAAGCTTTGCAGTACAAAGTAGTACTGGGAAGTAGTTTGTGCAAGCTTTGTAGTACAAAGTAGTACTGGGAAGTAGTTTTGGTGCAAGCTTTTGTAGTACAAAGAGTACCGGGAAGTTGTTTTGTGCCAGCTTTGTAGTACACAGTAGTACTGGGAAGTGCTTTGTGCAAGCTTTGTAGTACAAAGTAGTACTGGGAAGTGCTTTGTGCAAGCTGTGCAGTACAAAGTAGTACTGGGAAGTGTTTTGTGCAAGCTTTGTAGTACAAACTAGTACTGGAATGTGTTTTGTGCAAGCTTTGTAGTACAAAGTAGTACTGGGAAGTGTTTTGTGCAAGCTTTTGTAGTACAAAGTAGTACTGGGAAGTGCTTCGTGCAAGCTTTGTAGTACAAAGTAGTACTGGGAAGTAGTTTGTGCAAGCTTTGTAGTACAAAGTAGTACTGGAACGTGTTTTGTGCAAGCTTTGTAGTACAAAGTAGTACTGGGAAGTAGTTTGTGCAAGCTTTGTAGTACAAAGTAGTACTGGAACGTGCTTTGTGCAAGCTTTGTAGTACAAAGTAGTGCTGGGAAGTAGTTTGTGCAAACTTTGTAGTACAAGTAGTACTGGAAAGTAGTTTGTGCAAGCTTTGTATACAAACAGTAGTACCTGGAAGTAGTTTGTGCAAGCTTTGTAGTACACAGTAGTACTGGGAAGTAGTTTGTGCAAGCTTTGTAGTACAAAGTAGTACTGGGAAGTGGTTTGTGCAAGCTTTGTAGTACAAAGTAGTACTGGGAAGGATTTTTTGCAAGCTTAGTAGTACACAGTAGTACTGGGAAGTAGAAGGGTGCTTGTCTGGAAACGGAATGTAAACCCGAAACTATTTATGGAACAAAGCAATGACGATCAACTATGTGATTTTGGGGTGGCATGTTTTCAGAAAAACAATTTCCAATACAGTAATGTTACTGCCAGGTCACGGCCCTAAGAAGCCAAGTTAGATACTCGTAGACCAACGGGGTCATACTTGTTAAAAGAATCCTGTTTCTTTTTCTCTTTTTCTATCTTTCCACATCTCCCTCTATCTCTCTCTCTATATATATCTCTTTACCCAGCAACGTTTTGACTGTTTCAGACCTGTTTCAGACCTGTTTTAGACCTTCTGTTGACAACCAAATATTTAATGCTCAGTACCCAAAGGGTTATTTGTAGTACACAGTAGTACTGGGAAGTAGTTTGTGTAAGCTTTGTAGTACACAGTAGTACTGGGAAGTAGTTTGTGCACGCTTTGTAGTACAAAGTAGTACTGGGAAGTGGTTTGTGCAAGCTTTGTAGTACACAGTAGTACTGGGAAGTAGTTTGTGCAAGCTTTGTAGTACACAGTAGTACTGGGAAGTGGTTTGTGCAAGCTTTGTAGTACACAGTAGTACTGGGAAGTGGTTTGTGCAAGCTTTGTAGTACACAGTAGTACTGGGAAGTAGTTTGTGCAAGCTTTGTAGTACAAAGTGGTACTGGGAATGATTTTTTGCAAGCTTAGTAGTACACAGCAGTACTGGGAAGTAGTTTGTGCAAGCTTTGTAGTACACAGTAGTACTGGGAAGTGGTTTGTGCAAGCTTTGTAGCACACAGTAGTACTGGGAAGTGGTTTGTGCAAGCTTTGTAGTACACAGTAGTACTGGGAAGTAGTTTGCGCAAGCTTTGTAGTACAAAGTAGTACTGGGAAATGGTTTGTGCAAGCTTTGTAGTACACAGTAGTACTGGGAAGTGGTTTGTGCAAGCTTTGTAGTACACAGTAGTACTGGGAAGTAGTTTGTGCAAGCTTTGTAGTACAAAGTAGTACTGGGAATGATTTTTTGCAAGCTTTGTAGTACACAGTAGTACTGGGAAGTAGAAGGGTGCTTGTCAAGCAACGTTTTGACTGTTTCAGACCTGTTTCAGACCTGTTTCAGACCTGTTTTAGACCTTCTGTTAACCACCAAATATTTAATGCTCAGTACCCAAAGGGTTATTCGTACCTTATTGATACTATTTCCTTAAAGTTGGTTGATTCTTGTTATTACTTGGGAAAATATTGAAGCACATTGGCAAACCCGATCTCTCCAGCTGCATCTGTTTTGGACTCACTCGCCCTCTTTGGGGCTGGAGCTGCTGGAATCCGATGAGGAGCTGCTGGAGGTACCATCATCATCTGATGAGGATTCGACAGCTTGGTTCGCTTTGTACCTTTCTCTTCGCAAAAACAATCGTCGAGTGCGGGATGCCATCTGCTTCTCCCACGGCGTTTGGCTATGATAACCAGAGATGCCTAGAGATGTGTGATGTTCGAACTTCAGCATTCGGCTATCCTTCTCTCCCAGCTTTGGTTTTTTGATGTTCCATTTCTGGCTAGAGAAGTATCCGCGGCGCCAGGTTCTGTCGTCAATGTAGCTCGGCGAAGTTCCTGGATAGTGTAGCTGCCCACAGGTATTTGTCAAATCAGCAAAAACAAAATTGCGCAACCGAGGCTTTTCACGATCTGAGTTTGGACCAGGTGTTTCGAATTGGACGCAATATGTTTTCGTAATGGAGAAGTTAACATCTTCAAGTTGCCACGAATGTTGAGGTTTCAGCTCGGATTCATAGCGGACCACTTGCCATGTTGCAAACTCTGACGATTGTGGGTTTTTTTGATTCATGGCCCCTGCAGCGTTGGAACAAACTTGCATCAGTTCATCAGTGGTTGTAATCAATCTCTGGGGCACTTTGAGAAAGGCGTTGATCCAGGACTCGAAAATTCCAAACATGGAATCTATCAAGCCTTTTCCGTGTTTCTCCCCGTAGTAGCAGACCCGCAGGGTGCCGGCTAAAACGGGAAAAATCTCACGTTGGAGGTGGGCTAGAACACTGTAGGCTCGAAAGTGTGGCCCCACGTCGCTCCACAAGGTTACCCGCTGGCAAGACTTAATCGCAGGAAACAATTCGATAATTTTGTTGAATAACATGCAAGACATCAAGCCAGTGTTCTCAATAATTTCGCTGATGAAAATGACTTTGTAACGTTGAATGATTCCTGTCAAATTTATACTCAAATAGCAGCCAAATATTGTGAGCTCCATGCGATCTTGACCGTACCACATGCTGCCAAGCTCAGTCGAAGCCTGCGGGAGACTGTACTTTTGCTTGTAGTCCACAAGAAACATGCACTCGCCCTGGGGAAGGTTTTGATTCTGTTTAGCAAATGCATCTTTCTGTCGCTCAGCAGTTTGCGTATGCCATTCATACGCCTTGGCAACTGCCAACTCATGTTTCAAACCATGCTGCAGCTTGGCTTCTAGTTCATGCAATTGTCCTCGCACCCGGGCGCCCAATGGTTCTCGTGCCCTTGCACAGCGGTCTGCGTGCGTCCGCAGGAAAGAAACAAAGGCTTCTAGCATTGGCAAGGGTTTGTTGTCAATAGCGTCCCAAGGCTCTCTAAAAGATGCAAAATAATTTGGCATCATGTTACAGAGCGCGGCTTTTCCGGCTTTCAACCGTTTGCTGATGCCCGGCAAAATGGACGTTTTGTAGAGCCAGCAATGGTCGCAATAATCGCTGACTTTGCTGTGCTTGAGGGCAAAGGGGCAATTGGTCTTGAAGATACGGTAGAATTGCTTCCAAGCCAAATCCTTTTTCACTTCACTCGAGAGATACATCGACAGCAAGCTGCTCGTCAGGGTGCGAGCTAAACACCCTTGCTTCACCAGCCAGGTGGATGATTCTTGGCTGTTTGTGTTGACTAACTTTATGACCTGGTCAATGTACAGTTTGTCAGTCACTTTGCTCGGTCGTCCTCCCTTGCTTTTCAGTTGGTGCGTGGCATCTCCAGCTGTGCTTCGCGCACGTTGCCACGCACGCCAGGAGATTGTTAGCCCCAGGCCTAACAACTTACTTCTGGTCAAACCTGTTTTGCACAACCCAAGCTGCTAAGGGCTACAACTGCTAAGGGCTACAACTGCACATGTATCCACAATCGTTGTTTGGCCCCTGGGCCCTCGGCATCCGACACACCTACTGTGACCACCTGATGACAGTTGGCCGGCAGAACTGTTGCAAGCGTGCTCGGTTTCACAGTGACTTAACTGTGCTCACGGACTGCACCATGTGAATGGTGCGTTCTCCATGCATGTGTTTTCACATGCCATTCCCCTTGAGGAAAAAAACTAGTCTACATCCAATGTGAGAATCATTCTCCATTTTGGAGCCGCTCCCTGACCAAAATCAATGCCGCATCTGCTAAGCGGGCTGCCATGGCAGTCTCTTGACTGCTTGCTTTGCTTGCTCGGCTCTGCCGAGACATGTCAATCACTCTGTTTTTTTGTTCTGCTGTTAGGCGTGAATACGCCCTACATCCTACCTTTCTGAGACCATATTCGCACTCGGGACATAAATTCCCATGGAAAAATGAATGCCGGCTGATCGCGCAGACTTGGCACTCGTGGTGCCGCTGAACGCGGCCCCCGAAATTCCTCTTGGAAACGGACTGGTCCTGTGCAAAAGTGGAGGCTCCACGGAACTGCATGATTGAGGTCAATAGAAAGTCAGTACTAAGTAGAAGATCATTACAGAAACATAGCTCGTAGGTGCCACCGTATACTAGAAATGTTTCTTTATTATTGTCATTCATTTGTTGCTATTAAATGTATAGTGAGTTGGAGAAAGAACTTAAGAGATTGCATCAACACAGAAAGCGGTGTGGATGCCATGCCAATACTCAGGATAAGGATGCAGTGACACACACAAGCATTCACGGCGACGGTATTCTAGTCCACCCGTCGAAGTGATCATGCCTCAAATTGCTGACAAGTCTCTCCGGCAGCTCCACTGGAAGAAAGATCCCTAGCCGATGCAGCAATCGCATTGCCAGACCCATCTGCCTGAGCACTTGCAAGTGTGGAACATTTCAGATGATGGTTGCAATGTAGGAGAAAGGTTGCAAAAGATGTCACTCTCGGCTAGCGGGCTTCATTGGCGATTCCACCGTATACTAGACATGTTTCTTTAGTATCGAGTCATTGGTGGCTATAAAATGTATAGTGAGTTACGGGCTTGGAGAAACTGCATCAACACAGAAAGCCGTCTGAATGCCATGCCAATAGTCAGGATAAGGATGCAGTGACACACAACACAAGCATTGACGGCGACGGTTTTCTCGTCCACCCATCCAAATGATCATGCCTCAAATTGCTGACAAGTCTCTCCGGCAGCTCCATCGAAAGAAAGATCACCAGCCGATGCAGCAATCGCATTGCCAGGCCCATCTGCCTGAGCACTTGCAAGTGTGGAACATTTCAGTTGATGGTTGGCTCTGTAAGATGAAAAAGATGTCACTCTCCGCTAGTGGGCTTCATTGGCGATTCCACCGTATACCAGAAATTTTTAGTAGTGATTCTTTTTTGACTTCTAGTGAGATGGGACTTAAAAGTAGTTGCAATAAGCAGGCAACACAGAAAGCGGTCTGAAGGCCATGCGAATACGAAGATGCAGTGCCACACGCAAGCAATGACAGCGACGGTTTTCTCGTCCACCCGTCTAAATAATCATGCCTCAAATTGCTGACAAGTCTCTCCGGCAGCTCCATTCAAAGAAAGATCACCAGCCGATGCAGCAATAGCATTGCCAGGCCCATCTGCCTGAGCACTTGCAAGTGTGGAACATTCTAGACGATGGTTGGCGATGTAGGAGAAAAGATGAGAAAGGTGCAACTCGTTGCTAGGAGGCTTTACTGGCCATTCCACCGTAGACTAGAAATACTTCTTTATTATTGATTCAGTTGCGAATACTACACGTACAGTGAGTTGGGATTGGGGAAACAGCGTAAAAGAATGCTTCAACGCAGACAGCGGTCTGAATGCCATGCCAATTGTCAGGATAGGGATGCAGTGACACACAACACAAGCATTGACGGCGACGGTTTTCTCGTCCACCCATCCAAATGATCATGCCTCAAATTGCTGACAAGTCTCTCCGGCAGCTCCATCGAAAGAAAGATCACCAGCCGATGCAGCAATCGCATTGCCAGGCCCATCTGCCTGAGCACTTGCAAGTGTGGAACATTTCAGTTGATGGTTGGCTCTGTAAGATGAAAAAGATGTCACTCTCCGCTAGTGGGCTTCATTGGCGATTCCACCGTATACCAGAAATTTTTAGTAGTGATTCTTTTTTGACTTCTAGTGAGATGGGACTTAAAAGTAGTTGCAATAAGCAGGCAACACAGAAAGCGTTCTGAAGGCCATGCGAATACGAAGATGCAGTGCCACACGCAAGCAATGACAGCGACGGTTTTCTCGTCCACCCGTCTAAATAATCATGCCTCAAATTGCTGACAAGTCTCTCCGGCAGCTCCATCGAAAGAAAGATCACCAGCCGATGCAGCAATAGCATTGCCAGGCCCATCTGCCTGAGCACTTGCAAGTGTGGAACATTCTAGACGATGGTTGGCGATGTAGGAGAAAGAAGGAAAAAAATGTCGCTCTCGGCGATAGCGGACTTCACAGGGCATTCCACCATATACCAGACTTATACTTGCAATAACTTATTATTTTCCCCACCATAGGTCTTGGTCTTAGTCTTGTTTCGGTCTTTGCTCGCAGCCAGAACTCCTTCGTCTTTGCTCGCTTGGCTGGCAGAGTGGAAGTCTCAACGGCCGCAGACTTCCTTCCCTAAGACCAAAATCGCAGGGTTCTAAAAATGAACACATGGGCAGCTGATTGGATAACCAGATTTTTGAAGGTTTCAGACCTGTTTCAGACCTGTTTCAGACCTGTTTCAGACCTGTTTTAGACACCCCGTTGAAAATTGAAGGAAAATTCGGAAAAATGCAATAATAGACCACGACTACCAGTAGTACCGGACAAGACGGTGGCGGAAGTTTGAACGATAGGAAACCTCAAGGAGAGGTTGGTTGCTGTGAATGATGGATGGCAGAGCGAACCCGCTGATGCACCGACAAGTTGTTGGAGGCAGCACAGTGTCGTTGCGATGGAGTTGTAGTTGTGGTTGTAGTGGGAGTGGGTCCGCGAGTGGTAGTTGTAGTTGTAGTGGTCGTTTGTAGTGCTAGTGACGGTTGAAGTTATAGTGGTAGTGGTAATTGTAGTTGTAGTGGTAGTTGTACCGTAGTTGTAGTTGTATTTGTGGCGTTGTCGTTGTTGTAGCTGTAGTGGTAGGTCTAGTTGAAGCTGTACTGGAGTTGTAGTGTCGCTGTAGGTATAGGTGTACTGGTAGTTCTGCTGTCGTAGTGTTGTGGTGTTGTAGTTGTAGTTTAGTTGTGGCTGTATAGCTGTAGTTGTAGTTGTAGTTGTAATATGTTGTAGTGGTAGTGATGGTGGTGGTTGTAGTGGTAGTTGTAGTTCTCAACTTCCAACATTTTTTCCGAACCTGTCGGTTTTTTGTTTACAAGACAACTACCAATTCAAAATGTGCTTCGCGCTACAACGGGGTGCAACTTATTCTATCTCTCATCTGCCCTGATTTCTTCGCACCCGCTGCTTTGGCGAGCCGCCTTTTCGACCCTTTGGAGCTTTCAGCTTTCAAACAAATAAAACATAGTGTTTTGCGACTGTCCTACTTTTAAAAATTCCTGCATTTTTTCTTACTACTCCTTCCTCCTGTATGATCTTCTTTCTTCTGACTTTCTCCTGTCTTAGCTTCTCTCTTCTGTGGCTCTTCCCATCTTAACTTTTCCATCTATCCATATTGTCGGAAGTTTGACTGCTAAACTTCCTTCGGTCATCAGGTAGTTGGAGTAAAAGGAAATGAAACCACTTTAATAAAGGTTTCAGACGTACCTGTACAAGACTATAGCGGAGGAACGCATTGGCTGAAGCTACCTCCAGAGCTTCATTGACATATAAAATCCGAAAGGGAGGAAAAAAACTTGTTGGAAGAATGGCCCTTGTGACGCGTCAATTCTGTGAAAGTCGCCCATTGCGACTCTCTATATGGAGATTCTGCACAGCCACTAGCTATAGCCGAGTCACCCGACCACGCTGAGAACCTAACTCCTCGGGACAGCCCGCCTCCACAGCTTTAACCTTCGAGTACCAAGTCTTCTTCCCATTCGAATAACACCCTTAGGTGCAGAAATCGTGCGGAAAAATGCGAGGCTCAAAAATCGTCTATCCGCAAAATTTGTTCAAACACATTTGCAAATCCAGGAGAAACCAAACATTCGCATATCATTGGCCCAATGAATCTGAGATGCAATACATCTGGCCAATGCTGTCACCGTCCATACGCGGCTGCTGCCAAGCTTTCCACTCCATGGTGCCCACACTTCCAACCGGCGC